TATAGTGGAGCTGTGGTTAAGCTAGAAAAGCTTATAGGTCGCAGCCACATATCGTAGTTAATAATTATTTAAATCACGTTTGTTGTGTGTAGCACCGTAAACAAAATAGAAACAAATGAAAAAATATGTTGTATGAGAGAAAGTGCCTTGGTGTTAGAACTGAACATATATCCTAGGTCCCTATTGGTATGATACTCACCTTGACAGCGAGAGGTTGCAGGTTTACCTCCCGCCAGAGACACTTTTTCTTCATAAGCCACAAACTGAAATTAAGGAACATTTCGTTGATGAGCTATGCTTGATGAAAACAGGAAAACAGAATTTGTATCTGCCTCCTTATTAAAATTGGCTATATATTTAGTATTACAAAGCGGTCTCAAATGTTTAAAGATGTACTATCAGTCATGAAGAAACAAAAAATTTAATCTTAATTTCACATTAGAATTGCTTAATATGTATATTTAAGTAGGTTACTAACCTTACATAAAAAAATTAAATGAGAACAAAATTCGAGAAAGTAAAATAATAACTTCCTTGTATTCATTTGCATAGATCCTTAAATTGGCTGGTAATCATTTGTTTCTGTAGTAAAATCGGTTAAAATTGGTTTTTTTCTGCTTCTTTTTTGAAGTTATTAAATCATTTAATCCTTTTAAATTAGCTATTTAAAATTTTATTCTTTGAGGTATTTCCCTGTCTTTTTGACTAATAATAAATACACTATTAAACATTTCTCTAGTAAAATGTATTAAATGTATTTTTTATTTACATTTATCAGACCAAAACGAATGCAAGGATGCAAGCCCATGTGATGGTGAAAATGTTATGTGTACGAACACTGATGGAAGTTTCTTGTGCAGTTGTTTAGAAGGATATGCTAACATATCTGGAATATGTACAGGTAGCACTTCTTGTTAAGACAAATATATAATATAAAACACATTATACTTCGAAATTAAATATGTAAATCATCTTGATTTAATACAAAATGGCAGACACTTCATCGCGGCCATATTTATAAAACATTGAGATTTGTAGTTTTGCTACTTTCGTATACTTTTATATATTTATTACGGTATTAATTTCACGGTAATTTTCAGACGCTATATCTTTGAATCTGTCTGTGATTTTCACTCATATCGGTGGCCAAATGGTGACACAAGATACCGACTTGACTTCAACTGAGCAAGATAATCTAGTTACAGATGTAAGTTATAATAATCTTGTCTTAATCACTGACAGATTTAGTTTTCACAAATTTAAGTATGCTGTTAATGGTATAGCGACTTAAATATTTAGTTTGTTAACCATGTCAGATAAACTTTTGAAATCTTAATCTTACTCTTTTAAAATGTAAATTACTGACTAACTATTCAAACTAAAGCTGTGATAACTAAAGCAAGAATTGTATTGAAAGTTGTTTTTCCATGAATGGATAATCCCGAAGAGGAAGGGGTCCTTCCCCGTGAAAATTTTGATCACTAGATGGCAGGAAATGAGCTTTTCCGACTTCTGAGGTGTCTTTTGATTGACTATGTGTGTATGTACAGTACATAACAAAAATTGAGTCGCTGAATACATATTCTTTTTTCTAAAAATCGATGAACCCCAAATCAAATGGGGGTCAGGGGTCCTCCCCGGGAAAATGTTGGTTCTTAAATGGCGAGAAATGTGTTTTACTGCAGTAAATAGGCCTATGTGTGTACCAGTACACAGAGAATTTTTTTTTTTTTTTTTTTTTTTTTTTTTTTTTCTGGACAGCAAAACTCCAATAAAAAAAAA